GCCCAACAACTGTTGATACTCACACAGTGCACCCTGTCTGACCAACTGGAAAAAGCCAATGTTAGTTGGGTCATAAAGCGTTCCATGTGTGTATTGATTGTCTCTATTTATTACCATTGATGATTGAATTGTATTAAATTTATGCGATGCTTACTATTGCTTTAGCAATTTGCAGGTGATAACCGTGAGATCATCCCACTGCCAACATTGCTGGCATTGGTGGCATTGGTGGCGGTGGGACCGAAGCAGACTTGTGCTGCCCACGAGGCTGCAACGGTTGGTTGCCTTAAAAGACACCAACACAGTCAAACAGTGAATGTTGTCCAGAGCATGGTGAACTTGAGTGATGAGGGAAGAGTGAGCATTGCTGATGGAATGAGGGGGCAATGATTCTCTGTACCGTTTGCTGCTAGTTGCTGCTAGGTTTGACGCTCAGACGTTAATTCATTCTTTTAATATTCGAGACTCAGACATTTTGATTCTTTGTGTTTGGTTCTTTTTCATCCATTCTTTAGGTTCATTCATTCATGTTGAATTACGAGGAGGAGAGGATGATTTGAACAGCAGGAGGGCGAGGAGGAGAGAGCAGTGAGATGGGGGACATTTATTCCTGGCATTGTTGTGAATTCAATTACAATAGGATCTCCTTTCCAACCACGTCATTATCTATTCGTTTTTCTTCTGCCCGATGGAAAGTGCCGTGCCATGCTGCTTTACATATTTTTTTTATTCTCACTGTCTACGCTACCTTGTTTGGCACTCCACTGTCATCTTCCCCCCAAATAGAAAGCAGCCTGATGGCCCTGATCATGAATGAATACAAGCTATCGCTCCAGTCAGACAGTAGCTCTCTGGAGATTCAAGATTGCTATGTGCCATGCTATCACCTTGTTTGGTACACCACTGGCATTGTCCCCCAAATACAATGCCCCCTGGTCATGAAGGTATGGAAGCTATCTATTTGGTGTGATACGATCATGATGAGGGGGTGTTGTGACAGGAGGAACACGTAGCCATCTGGAGATAGCGATGGCATGGGCCATGGGCTGTGGCTGCGTTGCGGTCACTGAGGAAGGGCCCTTGCTAACTACTGTTGGTCTTCACCCGAATAGAACGCCCGGTCATTGTAGCAGTATCTGGACTGAAAATTGCACCAAATGCGGCTATAATGACCGGGCGTTCAATTCGGAAGACGTCAGGAGGTTGTAGGTTGTCGTTGTGTGTACTGTTCACTCCACTGAGTTTTGACATCGAGCTTCGCCATCCCCCGCAGGAACTCAGGTTGTGCGCAGTTGTTATTATGATTATTATGGCGGCTGATCGACAACATGTTTTGTTCTGTGTGTTTATTGTCTCTCTCTCAAAGCGCGGCGTGACCGAAGAGACAATGCTGAAACACATGGGAGCTGAGACCAGCGTATCGCTTTCGTCAGCAGTTACCCTATTGGAGGTATGTCCGGTCCAGGTCCCAGGGCTTCCCTTGCACTGTGGATAGGTTACATGCTGGCTACTGTCTCCCACCAAACCATGGTTCGTACTAGCTAGGTTTGATCACTACAGTATAATACCAGTCTTGTGACTCTTGTCCCTTTTCAGTAAGATAGATCAAGTGCAGTATCTGCACAAACAGTTAACAGTTTAATTAGTATCTGACCCGAGGTCCACGGAGCAATAATAATTATAGTCTATGCTGGGCTGTTGCCCAGACACGCCCGGGTCAGTTGGGCAGAGGGGGGGTGGACTGGCAAAACCAGACGGGTCAAAAACGAGGCAAGGATCCCCCAAAAACGAAAAAAAAGACTTCAGGCCAGGACTGTGCTTGGCCTAAGCAGTCAGAATCCGGTCTTAACTTCGATTTTGGGGATGGGTCATCCGGGGGGCTTGGGGGGGTATAAACAGTGACTAAAGGGGTTTAAATTTTAAAAGGGCACATTTTGAGTAACGGTTTCTCATTTATTTTTACCTTAAAATCTAAAAGGAATTTTCGAGGTGGCCCTCAGCCAAAAGTTGTTTGTATTGCAATTTTACACAACATTTGTTTTTTTTCTCGATTTTTTTGAATTTTTCTTTTCTTTTCTTTTTCTTTTAATATTATGCACTGGGGACCACCCGGGACCCTGCCGGGGCCCTGCCCGCCCCGGGCCACCCGGGAGGGTACCCGGGCAACCTTCCCCCAGCCGGGCCGCCCGGTCGATCTCAGATTATATTGTAATAATACTAATAATTAAATAATTGCGAGGCTCAAGGCCTCGATACGCCCTACTGGGCCCTATTTTCAGTACAGTCGGCCGCCCTAAGTGAAGGCAGGCTCGACCAAGGCCTACAGGCCCATTTTTGGGGTCACCGCGTAACTGGGGAAATTCAGGCAGTTGTGCAGCACCAGTTGGTTGAGAGTGCCCAGGCCCAGGCTGCCTTTTTCGTATGTAACTGAGGCAGGCCCTGGGCCAGATACACAACATGGGCCGAACACAGGCTGCGGGCAGTTGGGCACGGGTAACCACCACAGGCCCTCGGCCTGGTTCGTTTGGACTGGGGCTCAGCCTCACGGGGCCAAACGGAAGCTTCTGGACCGAGGCCCAATGCAGGCAGGCCACACGCAGCAGGCAGGCCAATCCCATTTAGGAAAGTGCCTGCCCCAGCACTCGGCATTCGGGCAGTGGCTGCATGCTGCGCAAGCGCTGCTGCGCTAGACGCTGGCCAGCGCTCATGCGCTCACGGGCGAGCTGGGGGAGCAGGCAGCCATAGCCGAGCTGCGCTGCTGTATGCTGGATGGGGCGATGGTGGTCCTTGGGTGCATTTGGCATCTGTGAGTGGGGGATCGAGGTTGTGAGTGATACGAGAGACATACCTGGTGCTTGAGGCGAACGGCACTGGCCGAGATCTGCTCGCACTTCGGGGCGCTGTTGATGTCACCAGCGGCATTGTAGATAGGCTAGATAGGATGTCGGCGTTGGTTCTTTGTTGATGATGATGAGACCATTCCAACATTGTCACTTATGAGCTTTTGCTGTGCTCTTATTTGGTGGAACTCATGTTGCAATTCTGCTTTTGGTTCGAGGTCACAACTATCTGGTCACATGTGTATGATGCTGCTTGGTTTCTGAAGTTCGCTATCGCTCATTTTCCTTGCAATTTGGTATCGGAGCTGTGGTACGGTGCTCTAATCTGGCGCTTGTCTTCTGCCTATGCGGTACATGCATACGGTCTGTTGGGCGAGCGGCCGTAGGGAGTGTGTAATGAGGAGGGCGAAGGCAAGTAGGGCGACCCAGGAGGTGAGGGGTATCGCCAGGAAGGCTACGTGGTGTATATTGGGTGTTCGCAGTGTGATGAGAACTATCTGATGTGCGATTGATGCTGAGGTGGAACGGCGGTGTAATGCTGGTTGTGCCGAAGCAGCGATTGGTCATCACAGTCGGCATTAGGTCATCTGGTGAGAATATCTGTGGTTGGGGGCAGCTATTTTGAGGTACGTTGCTCTTAACCTTATCTACCCTCTTCAACACTTCTTACTGTGAGGATGTGTGTTCTGTCTTGAGAGTCCTCTCATGTGAGGAGTCGAGTGCGCTCAACCTTGAGAGTCGGCATTGTTCACGTGGAGCATCTGGAAGGAGAGGGCAGAGCTATCTGAAAGGCCCTGGACGAAGCACTGGGTCACGGTCACCATGCCAACCCACCGGGAGTAGAGTACGCATGCTTTGCTGCTTTGTCCTTTGTCTGCCTGCTGCACTATTAGATGGGTTCTCAGGGGCAGGCCAGCCCTACGGGAAAGACGAGTACCGGACGTCTGTAAATAAGTACCGGCGGGGACCTTCCATTGGTTGTGATCGTCGTCCTGTCTGCAACGTTAAATAATTCCTGAGGACTTCGGGGGCCGTCCTAAAACGCCTCTTGATCAGCCAATTGGTCGGTGTAAGGCTCGCTGCATGCGAGGGTAAACATTGTGCAGGGCTGGCCAGCTCAGCAGGACTCGGGGCATAGGGGTGGGCTGTGTGCACACCTTTAGACACGCACGCTATGTGGATCGCTCAGGAACGCTGACGTCAAGTGACCATCAAGAAAAATTGAGGGAGGGGTAGGTTTCAGGTGATCAGTTCGGGAAAGCTTCCACTCTGTAAACAGCCAAACAGATGATTCTATTTTATTTTGATTAGTTAGATCAACTTAGATTGACAACCATTGACATCTGATAGACAGCATAGGTAGAACAGTTTCTGCTCATTGGCTTTCTGTTAGCGGACTAGTCAAAGATTAAATAGTTTCGTTTGTAGGATTCTGAACTTACCTGTTGGACCCAAATGCGTAGACTTTGACACAGCCCCCGAGTAATTATTTTATTTATTTTAAACCGGTCTGTGTACTACGCTGCGGTAGGCATCCGGAGTGACCTAGTGCAGTTTGTGCGCAGTTCTGTAGCTTATGAGCGACAGGGAGGACACTAGAGAGGACGATAGGATCCTGCGATCGGGAAGACGCCCTATAGCCCACGTGACATTAGGACCCGAGGGTGACAGATTCCTGTTCCGCCAGCAGAGAGAGAGACAACAGCAGCAGCGAAGGGCTAGGGCTGCAGAGGCAAGCAGATCATTCGCAAACGAGGCCGCTACTTCAACAGCTATGGCTACAGCTGCGCAGCAGTCCTCTCAGACTAGTAGTTTAGGTACTGTAGGGTCGACGGTCGCACAAACTCTGAGTCAGTCCGCTGGTGTTATGGCAAGCCAGCCGTTAGTGTTGACCCCCAAGGAGGTCGCCATACAGCGAGCAGCTGCTCGCAAGGCACAATTACAGCAGGCTTTAGGAGAGATCAAGGCAGAGAAAGAAAGAATGATCAAAAAAAGATCAAGGATGCAGCAGAGACAAGCGGACGTTAGTGAGTTAGAGAGGATGAACCTGACAAACATGGATGATGATGTGAGGACCCTGCGTGCATTCCTGCTAGATGTAGTGGAAATGCAGGACCATCAAATGACTCTCTTACAGGACATCCAGCAGAGCCTGGCCGTGCTGGTCGGGCGAGCTCAGGTAGCACCATCACCATCAGAGCCTGGTGCCTGGCTTGTGGTACAACCTCCTCCTTTTGTCCCACCGGTGACTGGAGTATCTCCATATGCATCTCCAGCATTGGTCCAAGCCGCTTCCCTAGGTATGCCGTTGACAGGAGGGTTCTCAGCAGGTCCTAGTGTATAGATTCCTGTACAGACAGTGTATACCCAACCTCCGTAGCAGACTGTCGTAACTGGGCAGCCTGCTGTCTTGCAGTCGGCACAGCCACAAGGCACACAGCCCCGACAACAGCTAGTGCAGCAACCTGCGCCCCAGGGTCCACAGCCCGGAGCGGTGCAGGTACCGGGACAAGGCTAGTGGGTTCCAAAGACGGCCATCGCCTCGCCTAAACCCTTTTCAGTCTACGTTAAGTGCAAGTTGACCTTGCCACATGAGGAAGTGCTTGTGGCTGCCTCCTATCTTGAGGGGAGTGCAGCAAGATGGCTTAGGGGGTTAGTCCAACTACAGGGATACGGACATGACTTCCGCGCTTGGGTAGTCAACCAGAACCTGGAAGACTTCCTGAAGCTCGTGGAGGAGAGGTGGCATGATCATCAGGAGGCCCAAAAGGCCACTGACGTGATCTTGACTCTGAGCAATAGACCGTTCAAGTCAGTAAGGGATGCCACAGACGCAATAGAGCGTCTGATCTGTGTACCTGGAGTGTGCTATGACCCACAAGTCTTGCTAACCACTTACCTGAGATGTCTCCCTATGCCACTCAGGAATCAGTTGGCGGGCGACGCAAACATCAATGTACACAACTTCCCTTCATTTAACAAGAAGGCCCTAAACCTGGATGCAAAGATAGGGCACAAGCACCAACCCACGACGGACGGAAGGAAGAAAGCACTCCCTCCAAACTGGAAGGCGAAGGGTCGCATCATGTTCGTCAACAACGATGGTTCTACCATCGAATTAGATGATGTTTTCCAGGAGGGAGTAGGTACAGAGACGAGCAGCGTAGAAGCTTCAGGGGGTGGAGCAGTTGCTGCCTCAGTGCAAAAAGGCAAGGCGACCGGTAGACGCTGTGGAGGCTCCCGGTCTAGGAGTCAAGTTGACCCCAATGGTCCTCCATGGGAGAAAGCGGGTCTTACTGAGGACGTGTGGAGGGATCGGTACACTTGGCAGGCTTGCATCCGTTGTGGCCAATATGGCCATAATCAGTTCAAGTGCCGAAATAAGAAGGTGACCGAGAAGATCCCACCTACAATGGGGCAGGCGTTGGGATCTTCCGCTCTGGTAGGTAGCAATGTTGCCAGTAGTTCTAGGACTGCTTCGGGAAACACGTTGGGCCCGTAGGAATAGTAGTTGTTCCTGCTAGGGTCGAGGTGGTGGACACACCCTCACTATCTCGAGAGATGGCCCAAGCTATTGACTCCGTAGCCGTCCCGCAAACACAATCGGACCCAGTGATCCTTTGTTCGCTGAATGTGTTCGAGTCCTTAGAGGAGCTAGAGGAGGAGTGGTCTAGATCGGACCCGCTAACTTCTTGGACGACCATGGCCAAAGCCCTTAAGGGTGAGTTGTTCGTCGGTGAGGTAGTCGTCGGTGGCCGCAAGGCCGGGGCCTATTATGACACTTGCTCGACGCGAAATTTCATTAGTCGCGCGTGCATTGAGAGGTTGCGCTTACAGGGGCAAGTGCAACACTTGAGTCGACCTGTGGAGTCAACCTATGCCAACAAACAGCGCATGGTAGTCAATGAATACCTTAAAGACATTGAATGTCTTTTCCGGTACGCGGGAGGGGAACTGAGACATCGAGTCACATTCCTAGTCAGCGATGACCTCCCTATGGATATCTTGTTAGGTATGTACTACCTCTCGGTTGCACAGCCCCAGTTTGACTGGGATAGAAAAGTGGTCAAACTCACTTTGCCGTGAGGGGGGGACCGCCAAATTATGTAAGTTTAAAGCTAGTAGTCTGATCGAGTCCTACGGATGCATGTGTGCGCCGCATTTTATAATTATTATAAGCAAAATCCGGAGGAGGGTATGTACTTAGTTTATGTCTCTGCAGCAGGCAAGCCGGTGAAAATGGCGCCGGAGATAGAGGGAGTAGTCGCTAAGTACCCTGATCTATTTGAAGAGCGGAAAGGAGTTGTTGAGAGGGAGGTCGTCCACGCGATAGAGATTATCCCAAGGTGTGGTATTCCGAAGGGTAGGATCTATTGGATGTCTCCAGCTGAGCTCGATGAGCTTCGCCGACAGCTCAAGGAACTCATGGAGAAGGGTTGGATCCGGCCTAGTGTCTCCCCTTACGGATCGTCGGTCTTATTTGTACCGAAGAAGGCAGGGACCTTGAGGATGTGCATTGACTATAGGGGCCTCAATGCCATTAGTGTGAAGAATGCAGAGCCCCTACCACACATCGATGACTTGTTGGACCGAGTGCAAGGGTGACGGTACTTCAGTAAGATAGATCTGAAGTTCGGGTACCATCAGATTGCAATCTGGTCCGAGGATCAACACAAAACCGCTTTTTAGTCTGTACGAGTTTGTGGTGATGCCTTTCAACCTTTGCAATGCTCCTGGCACCTTTCAGCACGCCATGAACCGGATCTTTCATGACTACTTCGACAAGTTTGTCATCGTGTACCTCGATGACATGCTTATCTTCAGTAGGACTGTCGAGGAGCACGTTGGTCACTTAGACAAAGTCCTTAGACTCCTTCAACAACACCAGTTCAAGATCAACGGGGAGAAATGTGAGTTTGGCCACACCCGGATCTTGTATCTGGGTCATGAGATTTCCACGGAGGGATTGAACCCCGATGACGCGACGGTGGTCATTATTCGTGACTAGCCGTGTCCTCAGTCTGTGACTGAGATGAGGTCCTTCTTAGGGATGACCGGCTACTACCGCAATTTTGTCAAGAACTATAGCATAGTGGCTGCCTCGTTGACGAACCTGACACACCTTGACACCCCTTGGGAGTGGACAGACATGTGTGAGGCTGCTTTCAGACATCTGAAGCATGCCCTCACTCAGCATGAGGTCTTGAAACTGCTCGATCCTGACAAGCCATTTGTTGTGACCACGGATGCCAGTCAATATGACATTGGTGCCGTACTTGCGCAGCAGGAGGGGGAAAAGTTAAGGTTGGTAGAATACATGTCCAAAAAGATGCCCTCTCAAAAGCTGGCCAAGTCCACTTATGAGAAGGAGCTCTACGCAATTTACAAAGCGTTGACTCACTGGAGGCACTACCTCCTTGGTCGCTTCTTCTACGTCAGGACGGATCACTAGACCCTGAGGTGGATGAAGACTCAACCGGTACTCTCCGATGCTTTAAAGCGATGGATCGAAGTTATTGAGGAATATGACTTTGAGCCCAGTACATCAAGGAGTACAACAAGGTTGCAGATGCGCTGTCGCGTAGGCCAGACTTCCTGGGTGAGCTGGTCACTGAATTTGGGCTTGCGGACAATGTTACTCAGTCTTTGGTGGAAGCCTACCGTGAGGATCCGTTTATGGCCGAGATCATACGCAGACTCGAGGCAAAAGACAAAGCAACTGCTTATGATCCTGGCCAACTTCGAGATACACATCCATCAGATAGTACAATGCTGCCCAATTGCAGAAAGAAATGAATGAACTTGAGAGAAGAGAGAGGATTAGAAGAAGAAGAAGAAGTAAGAAAGAAGAAGAAGATGATGTACATCAGCATAGACAAATGACAAGGCTCTTCTTCTTCGCCCAACAATCTCCTCCTCCTTATCTCCCCCTTCTCTTATTCATACAAGAAATAATAATACAATGTTGAATGGCTGATCCTGAATGAATGTCCGAGTCCCTCTTCTACTGCAGGTATCACTGGAGGTCCACCATAGCCATCGCCGCCTGCCCCACTCTTCACCCTCATAGGTCGAGGCTATAGCAGACTACTAGGCCTTGCCCAGATGCCCAAAGGACAACCCAAAGCAGCTATGGCTGCTCTAGCTCAGACCGCCATGCCCAACCCTGCCTTGAAGCTTCTTGGTGTGGCTCTCCCCAGTTGGGCACTCCCTGCTGCAGCGCCCACCAAGGTGATGAAGATGGCTGCCACCATAGCCAGGTAAGTACCCCTGGCGCTCCTCCCCCTTCCTTCCTTCTTCCTCCCTCGTGTCCTTCTCCTTCCTCCCCAGCAGCGCTGTCGAGCGCATCGGCCCCCACGCGGGCGAGGACCCTCCCGGCCGCGTCACGCAGGAGAAACTTAGGCTTTCAACTTTTCAGAGACAACTCGAGGACGACACGGTAAACCGCGCCGACCCTTCGTCGCTCCGGTCGAGTGTGCCAGCTGTACATCCCGCGGTCCCCTACGACAGGATAGGTTCTCGCGGGGCACAACTTACCTTCCGTAAGGGGTTGTCACCACCCTTAGCGGTGTATCGCCGCCGAGCTACCGGCCCACGTGCGAAGGCTTTTATAATGCAATTGCAGAGGTAGGCCGACCGAGGGCGTTTGCTCGTTCGCTGTAGCATAGGTACGCATGGTAAAACGCCAAAGTGAACCCGAATGTCGTCCGTCCCTGGGGCGCTGATCTCCCAACAATCGGAACGTACGCCAGTCGACTAGAACGTGATATTCCAAGCGTAAGGAAAACTTCGAGCGATCCTAGTCCCTTCTTTCAAAGACAATCAAAAATTGCTTCGACAAAACCCTTTCAAAAGAAGTCTCTGGTCAATGTAAGTTGACTTATTTTCTGAAATCAATCTATATATAATACAATCATGCATATGAAAAAGGTTGACTTGACTTCAAACAACTATCAATAAAAGACCAACTATGACCAATACACAAGGCGACGCTCAAATGGCGTCCGACCAAAGTATATGCACTCTGCCTGCCAGATGGCTGGGCTGTCATGACTTTTTCGGCTTGATGAGGTGCGTTGCCAAGTTCTTTCATTCCGCCCCATACTAACTGCTGGAAGAAAAAAATGCAGACATCTCTCAACTCTCAAGTAGAGCTAGGTGACTTCACTATCTCTCTAAATTTGGTGTGAATGCCATCTGCAGGTCATTCGGCTACCACTATACAAGTCAGCAATCCACTTTCAAATTTTGTTGGTTGCTTTGTCCCCCTGATACTCGTTAATTCTGCTGGAAATGATCGTTCCCAGCTTTAGCTATCCAAGTCTTACTCGTCATACCGACCCTATTGGTCCTCGCTTCTTGTGGCGAGGCCAACCACAACAAGAGTGCCTAGCCGCGCTCTGTTTCAACTAGTAACCATGAACCGAGCTTCTTGTGGCTCAGTTCTCCATGCACTAGTGACCCTTAAAACTACCACTAAGGGGTATGCTATGGCAGCTCCCCTCAACGCGAAGCGTTAAGAATTTAAAGCCCTTTCGTGCGTAGGCGCATTTCCTTTCCCTAGGAGGTGGTATGGGCTACCCCTCGTCCTCGCCCGAGCGAACCTCGGATCTCAGAAGTCGGGCTGACTCCACCACGACAGCATGATATCCCCCCCGCATAAGCGGTCCACTCCAAGTCGATAGCAGGGCCGGCCCCTAAGGCCACGAACCCCCGCCTTAGATGCCTCCTAGGAAAGGGAAAGACGTCTACGACGGCAAGCAAAAATGGTTCTTTGCCACCTGACGTCAAGGGTAACTTAGACGAAAAAGGAGATCACAAAAGAGAAAATCATTCAGACAGATGGGCATAGACGGAGAGGGTCATTCGGGAAAGAACGGGTATCCTCATGAAAAATCTATGTCCAACTGGTTTCTTCTTCTTTGTGTGATGAAATTCCTTTTCGTCATCTATTGGTTGTCCTTCCCTTCATCATGCATGCAAGCGAGACAACCATCCTTTCAATCACTTTCTTTAACATGAATAGGTTCCTTTTCTTCATGCATTCATGCAACCTTCTACCTACCTACACATCAGGTCAAACAACAAGTTCAATAGAAAACAATGCAATTCAAACTCACATTAGACATCCATTCACACGTGCGACCACACATTTCCGCTGCCTTTTCGGTGAACATTCAAAGAGCAGGGTCAAGCAAGTGTGGGTCCACACAGGTGTGAAGGGGTATGAGTCAAACTGACTGACCTTGAGTGAAGTTGAAGAGATGGCCCACTCAAGAAGACCGTGTAAAATCGCACCCCAGAGATGACAAAGGTCATGACTGGTTGCCCGCAAAGCGATCCACACCACTCCCTAGAGCGCTTGCTTGCCGCGACACCATCTCAACACACAACCACCTCCCAGTAATCCAGTAACACCTTTGGGCCGCCGTCACTCACCCCCAATTTCACTGTGCCACTACGACGTCGCACTCACACCACTTTCAAACGCACCACCACTTCGCGGTACCTCCCCTGTGCCAATACCCAGTCACTGCTTTATATAGTCAGTGCAAGAATATTGTCGCCTTCGTCGTGAAAAACCAGCGCTTTCGCACCACTGCCGTCAAACTCAGTGCTGCCGCCGCAAAATTTCGGCAGCGCTTCCGCACTACCGCCGTCAACTCAGTGTTGTCGCCGCAATATTTCGGCAGCGCTTCCGCACTACTGCCGTCAACTCAGTGCTGACGCCGCAATATTTCGACAGCGCTTCCGCACTACCGCCGTCAACTCAGTGCTGTCGCCGCAAAATTTCGGCAGTGCTTCCGCACTACCACCGTCAACTTAGTGCTTTCGCCGCAATATTTTGGCATCGCTTCCACACTACCGCCGTCAACTCAGTGCTGTCGCCGCAATATTTCGGCAGCGCTTCCGCACTACCGTCGTAAACTCAGTGCTGTCGCCGCAAAATTTCGGCAGCGCTTCCGCACTACCGCCGTCAACTTAGTGCTGTCGCCGCAATATTTCGGCATCGCTTCCGCACTACCGCCGTCAACTCAGTGCTGTCGCCGCAATAATTCGGCAGCGCTTCAGCATTACCGCCGTCAACTCAGTGCTGTCGCCGCAAACTTTCGGCGGCGCTTCCGCACTACCACCTAAAAAGCGCTGCCATTGCCGTGCCGAGCGAACAGCACCTCCCCTGCGCTCCACCAAATGCAGCGGCAGCTATGGCTGCCCTCACTCTTACGCTCCCTGCAGACCTCCAGCGCTTCTCTCTCTTTCCCTCGCTGAGATGGCAGCTATGGCTGTGCTTCACGGCTATGGCCACCTCCAGCAGTCCTCCTTCCTCACTTGCAGACCTCCACTCGGCTCCCTCTCACTCCACCAGCATCTCCTCCTCTAGCAGCCAGCATTCACTCAAGCAAAATGCTAGCAGCACCAGCCACAAATGAATGCGGGCTGGCTGGCTGCTGGCTTTTTTATAGTTGGTTGGAGGCTGAGGGCAGCTGCTTTGCCCCCAGCCAACACTCGGAGTGAGGCCTGGCCCTTGATCTCAAACGCGATCAAGGGCTGGGAAACTTGATGTTCCCCTAGGGGAACCAAGTTCCAGGCCTTGGTAATGCATCTGGCCGCTATCCCCGGCCAGATGCAGCCCTAAATGGCTGTATAGAGCCAAGTAGAGCAGACTGTCGAATTTCAACAGTCTGCTGTCAACTCAGGGTCCAGATGCTTCACCAGTTGGAAGAGCGACATTGAATACTTTGTTGATGGTGGCGAGACAGGGGCTGCCATTGACAATTGAGGTCATTGCTTTGCTCTTATTTGGTGTGTATGTGGTGCATTCTGCTTTTTGTGCGGCACACGACTATCTGGTTTTCAATGTGATGATGCAATTGGGATTTCTGTCATTCGCTCTCGCTCATTTTCCTTGCATAAGGTCTTGCTATGATACCAATTGCACGCTATGACAGACTGTATTTCTTGGGGCCGGACAAAAATCAGTGTCAGGAAAAAGGGACCTGGAACAACTGGTGGTTTGATAAATTCATGACAGGAAACGCCTCTTGCAAACTAGGGTGGTATGGGTGAGTTTTTTTTTGTTTTTTTTTTTGTATGGGTGAGTTCCAGGAACCCGAGTTTGTCAGAAAATAAAAGAGGGAAAAAACTTCAAAAAAGGGTTGAGGTTCTGACTCCATATCTCCAGCCAGGCTTGCAACCTGTCCTTGGCACAGAAAGACTTGCATCCCCCCAAAGGGTTCAATAATTCAATTCTTTCCGTTTCTAGTCTCAGGCACGTAATAGCAGGAACCCCCTTAGGCGTCTAGAGCGGGGGGGGGGGGGGGGGGATGGTTCTCTCTCTGGTCTTTCTGTTCCCCTTTTCCTTCTTTTCCTGTTTTGCAGTCAAATTTGCTTGCTGGCAAAGAGCAACCGGACTGCTGCCCCGCAGAACAACGGGCCATGTGTATGCGGGTGTAAAAGAAATGAAAAAGAAAGTGTAAATACTAAATACCAGAAGAGATTGCGAGGATCTGGGTCCTCGGCAGGCCTAAGGAGGCCCTTCTTCAAATGTGCCCGCCCTAAGTGAAGGCGGGCCTAACAAATCACGAGAGGCCCTCAGCTGCCAATATTGTATTTGGGGTCCAGACAGTTGCAACGCGCCAGTTGGTTGAGGGAAGCACAGGCCGAACAGCAAAGACATTCCACGGCCTTCCGGGCTTTTCCAAAAATGCAGGCCCTGGGCAAGTATCGCAGGCTAATACACAGACAGTTTTGAGGTCCAACCAAATGAGGCCCAGTAGCTGCAACAGAGGCGCAGCATCCTGGGCCCTACCGGAAGCTTCTGGGTCGAGGCCCAGGACAGCCAGGCTGCGAAGGCAGGCAGGCTCTTTCCATATAGGAAAGAGCTCGCTGCCTGGAGCGGAATTCAGCACTTGCATGCTGGCGGCAGCGCTGCTGGAGCAGATGCTCGTGGGTTGCTGCTGGCGCTTAGAGGCAAGGTGCTAGTGCGTGCGGTCGTGCAGGGAGCAGGGCACTGCTGAGGGCAGCGCCATAGCCCACCCTCCATAGCTGGATGGTCTTGGACTACAGTGAGGCGCAGGGGTGGTCTTCGATTGTACAGAGGGAAGACGTGGGAGTAAGTCCGGGGAGAGAGAGAAGGATGATGATGATGATGTGAGGGCACATACCTGGTATTGGCGATAGTCTGCATTGGCCGACATCTTCAAGTACTTCGTGGGCTGTTGACGTCAACAGTTGCATTGTCAATTAGTTAGGGAGATGGGGCCTGAACACTCATGTTGGTTGTGCCGCACGTGCGGATGGCACGTGCCGAGATGGTGAGAGACACAGAGAGAGAGAGAGAGAGAGAGAGAGAGAGAGAGAGAGAGAGAGAGAGAGAGAGAGAGAGAGAGAGAGAGAGAGACACGAGAAGCAGCAGCTGAGTGAAGGTCCAGTCCGGCTCTATCAAAGAATGAACCACCGAATGAATGAACAATTGAATGAGTGACCGACCCGGCCTGGGCCTACGCCGGAAAGATATACCGGCCTTGGTCCAGGCCGGAGTAACCCGGTACCGGACCGGGGTCAGGCCGACGGCCTGAAACAGGTCCGGCCTCACTTCCGGGCCGGAAGGGTACCGCTACATGATACTAGGACCTGTAAATGGATCAAGCGATACATCAACACGCTATCCGCTGAAATAGCGGAAACCCAGAGGGACGACAAAGAAACAATCCTAAATGCGGAGCAAGCTCCATGCAGGAAAGAGATGCAATGCAGACTAAGCCTCAAGCCTAATCTATACAACAATGTCTGGTCTGAGTCGACCCAAAAAGCAGAAAAATATCTGACCTGTGTCGGCCAACAAAGAGAGAAATGTCTGACCTGTGTCGGCCAAGAAGGAGGAAAATGTCTCTTAAGCCAATGTGGCTGAGCATAAGTCAACACCTGAGCCCTAAAGGCTAAAGAGTAACTAGATCAATATCCACAGTGAAAAAGAATGTGGCACAGTCTCACGTGCCCTGTACAAGTACACAATAGCCGAATGGAAGAGAGGGAGCTCAGTCGCATGGGAAAGGTAGGGATGGGTGGGAGGGCAGCAAGTACAGCTCTCAGAGTAAACTCCAAGGGGGTACCCACACAACCATATGGAACATCATCAGGCTAGGAGGGAGAATAACAGCACGACACCAGGCTCAATGGAAACCATCAAACGGGCACCGCCAACTGAAACGAAAAGGACACTCACACAAGGGAGCACACAAGCGAGCCTGGAAGGAATGGGGGGGCTATGCCGGCATAGACATATGGCCAAGGGCTGCGAGCAAAAAAAAACGTACACTTCGAAGGAGGGCGCGTAGCATAGGGTAAGGCAGAAGGGCAGCAGAGGAACACACCCACATGGTAAGGGAAAACAGGGGTCATCATGCGACTGAAGGGTAAACTCGAGGATGGTCGATAGATGGGAATGGTGGAAACTCTGTGGGCGAAAAAGTGAAGTAGTCCAACTGATGAGTCTCCAGACTGAAGTCGAGTCGAAGTAGCCAAGATGAAGTAAGAGTAGCGCAGAAACCAAATAGAAGCCCGGAACACTGCGACAAGTACTCTGGTACTGAAGAGAAGCACTGAGGTCGAAAGTCGAACGTAGAAGCCGAATGTAGAATCCGAATAGAAGTTGAAACCGAGAGCTGCTGCATAGGTGTCCAAGAATGGTAAAAGATAGAGCGCATATAGGGGGGTATAGATCAGTCACGATAGCGAGAAGGAAGTCAATGGGTACGCTGAGGTCGAGAGGAATCAACTACAACAACAGGCGGAACCACATCCACAGGGGAAGGGGGACCTGAGGCAGGTGCCGGTGGAGTTGGAGGACCCATCGATGGAGGAGGGGTTATGTTAGTGGTCGTTGAAGTAGATGGGTGAGTAAAAGGACGAGAAGTAGGAGGGGAGGATGATGAAGGGAAAGGATGAGCACGATTGTAAGCACGCACGAAAGTCATGGCATGCTTCAAGTACTCGAGAGACTCGCAAGTAGACTCCTCGTCAAGGTAACCCTTCCATCGAACAAGATACTCGAGGCAGGGAGGGTCACCATCAGTGATACGTCGGGACGTGATATCGGAGACGACAAACTCCTCGTGACCCTCGATGATGATGGGGGGGGGCGAGGGTAAGGTCGACCGTGGAACTCAGGTGAAGACCGTCTGAAGGGGTGCAATAGAGACACATGAAACACATCATGTAGGTTAACGCGGTACATGGAATCAGGGAGCTTTTATTTGAAGCTCACCGGACAGTCATGATTAGGTCCGACGAGTGAAAGAATAGTGCATGGACCGATATATCGACGTCTGAATTTTCGAAGCGTGTCGACCTCGGGCTGGTAGTGACGTGCGTCGACAAGGACTTCGTCGCCAAGTTTGAAGGGGTGATCGATATGGGAAAAGTTGGCGTTAGTAGCCACGCGAGTCTGGAGTCAGCAATGCTCTTGCGAGCGTTGCTGAGAATCTCATCCATCTCCTTACCCCAGTCATCAAGTGCGGGGCATTTAGTGTCAGTATGGATCTGAGATGGACGAAGGAGATCAGATGGGACACGAGGGTGATATCCCAAGTCACATTAGTAAGGAGACATGGCGGTGGCTGGTGAAATAGCATGGTTAAAAGCAATCTCTGCATGGGCGAGATGGAGGTCCCAATCAGAGTCATTCTCAACAAACTTCTTGAGAATATTCCCAAGAGTTTTGTTGGTGACCTCGGTCTGTCCGTTTGACTGGGGATGGTAAGAAGAGGAGAAGCAAAGCTCAGAGCCGTAGATCTCGTGGAGTCCACGCCAGAAGTGGGACGTCAAGCGGGGTTCACGGTCAGAGGAAATACTAGTAGGAAGACCGTGATGAATGGCGATGCGGTTGAAATAGAGTGAGGCGATGTCTTTAGCTGAGCTAGCATACTTGCAAGGGAGGAAGTGAGCATGCTTAGTCAGCGGACAGACAACAACAAAGATGGCGTCATGGCCTCGTGGGGTAGGGGGACGAAGCGGACCCATGAAGTCCATGGAGATAGACGTCCAACGCTAAGTAGGAATGGGTAAGGTCGGAAGAAGACCATAGGGGGGATGATTGGTAATATTGGCCTCTTGGCAGATCTTGCACGTGCGGACATACTCCTTAACGAAGGTGCGGCGGTGCCTCCAATAGTAATGGCGGTAGAGGCGGTCAAGAGTCTTGTAGACACCGAAATGACCGGCGGCGCGCTGATCATGACTCTCATCGACTGCCCGAACACGGAGCTGGCCGGTAGAAGGCACATATAAGCGAGGAGTACGAGGATAATTGAGTCCAAGCCAGTACAAGAGTCCAGAGGGGTCGAGCTGGAAGTTAGGGACGGTCTTGCCAGCCTGTAAGTCAGCGTAGATGGACAGAAACTCAGAACACTGGGGGTAAGCACAACGGTACTCATCTAGGAAAGCGGGATGGATAATGGGAGTAGAGACAGGGCGACGGGATAGGGCATCTGCGACACGGTTGCTCTCATCGGAGATCTTCCTGATCGTGAAGTCAAACTCGGAAAGATCACGCCACCAACGAGCCTGACGAGAAGTGAGTTTAGGCTTCGTCTGAAAGGCGGCGAGGACAAAGTTGTCCGTGAGCACGGTGAAGGTATGACTGTGTAGATGATGACACTTCTTAATAGCGTAAACCAGAGCGAGAACCTCACGCTCGTCAGCAGTATGGCTACGCTCCGTGGGAAGTAGCTGTTGAGAGAGATAAGCAACCGGACACTCTCGATCGCGAGACTCAACTGTACCGTTATCGGCGACGTCAAGAATATATGGCGGGGGGGATCCTGAAGGAGTAGGCTCAATGGGTGTGAGGTGAGCCGCAGTCGCTAGAGGTGGAGGAGGGAATCGGGGAATGCGCGGGAGTCGAGACTCGGTGGAATCGGGTGGAGTAGAAGGGGCTGAATAAATCTGAGATAGGACAACTCCAATAGCAAAGTCTGAAGCGTCTGTGGTGACAATGAATGGACGAGAGTAGTCAGGGAGGTGTAAGACGGGGGCTGACGTGACAAGCCGCTTGAGGGAGCGGAAGGCATCCTCATGAGCCGGGGTCCAATGAAAGGGTAGACGTCCACGGGTCAGAGGGGTAAGCTAGGCGGTATACACCGCGTAGTTTTTAAGAAAATGACCATAGTAGTTGGTCAACCCAAGGAAACTAAGTAGCGCAGGAAGAGAGGTAGGAGTGGGCCAGTCAACAATGACCTGAATCTTCGAGTCGTCCATGTGGAGTCCGTGCTCGGAGACCTGATGCCTCAGTTAGTCGACTTTGGGTTGAGCGAAGCAACATTTGGAGAGCTTCGCATAAAACCCATGGTCGCGTAATCGCTGGAGGACAGTGCGAAGGTGGAACAGATGCTCCTCTAAGGTACGACTGTAGACCAAGATGTCGTCAATATAGACTAGAACCGAGTCCTCAATATGGTTTTGGAACATCGTGTTCATAGCCGTCTGGAAGGTAAACTCGTAGTGCCGAAAACGAGAACGGAAAGCGGTCTTAGGCTGGTCCTCCTCGGCTACGCGGATCTGGTGATATCCACTACGAAGATCGATCTTCGTGAAAAAGTGGTGGCCGGAGAGGCGATCGAACAGATCATCCGCGCGGGGCATAGGATAACTGTTTCTGACCGTATACTCGTTGAGGCCGCGGTAGTCGAGGCAGAGGCGGAGGGTGCCGTCCTTCTTGCAATCGAAGAGGACGGGTGCACTCCATGGGGACGTACTCGGTTTAATGAAGCCCTGACGAAGCAACTCATCAATTTGGCGTTTAAGTTCTTGGGCTTCAGGGACCGAGAGGGGATATGGGGCACGATGTTGAATACGGTAGTTAGGTTCGAGCCGAATGTGGTGCTCGATATCGCGCATAGGAGGGATGCTGCTATAGGAGATAGATGGAGGGAAAACATCTCGATACTCGCGAAAGAGGTCCGCAACGCTAGGCTGCAAAGACGATAGGAGGTTGTCAAACTCCTCGGCAGCAGCAACATCTAAAGCAGGGGTGGAAGGAGTCGGTATGGGGATAGGTACCGATGGCGCCTCCATGGTAAGAGATGCAACAAGGTGAGATGAGCTAGCGGGGGTGAAGGAGGATGAGGAGGGTGAAGGATCGGGGGGGTCGGGAGGCTCGGGGGGTAGTGGGTCGAGCTCAACCAGCTCAGCGTCTTGATGCATGGAGTTGCAGACAAGGAGATCCGTGATGTCGACAATGTAGAGTTCGGCATCAGGCTGACGAAGAATGTGGTGAAACTGGGTAGGTGTCAAAATGGCGACATTGACAGGAGAGGGGGGTGTAAAGTCCGATTTTCCTGACAATGGAATACGATATTGCTTCCCATCCTTGGCGTCGAGGACGAGGTCGTTGTGGATCCAATCGGGACTAGAATGGGCGAACTGATGAGAGTAGGAGGTGCCGAGAACAAGGTCGTATAGGTTTTCCATGATGTCGAAAGTCCATTGGTCAAGGGGCCTTGCGAAGGCTATGTGGCATCCTCAAGGGGAAGGAGAATGGGAGATCAGGCACCACACAATCGACGAAGATTTTGGCCTGATTGTCGCCAAGCGTGACTGTGACAGTGGAAGGGTAAGGGGATGTATAGAGAGATGCCTCCTTAACTACACGAGGATGAATGAAGTCGCCAGTAGAGCCAGAGTCCCATAGTGCGCGATACACTCTAGTAGAGGTCCCGAGGCGCACTGGAATAATCGGTAAGGTGCGATCGGGATTGTGTAGGCGCTGAGATATCGCAGATAGGGTATGCTCTCTGAGGCGGAGATGTTCCTGGTGGACCTTAACGCACTCGAGGTCCAGGAAGTTGATGATATCCTCGGCTGCAACAAGGGAAGCACTATAGCGGGCCGTGCGTAACGCACACCTAGTAGGAGGACGAGGAGGAGGAGGATCACGAGAGACGGTAGGCGAAGAAGGGAAGGGTGCACTAGCGTCGCTAGGATCGACCAACGATGAGGTCAGGTCCAAGTCCTCAGAAAGAGTAGCAAGCGGCGCAAAGGTAGAATCGTGAGCGGGTATGCCTATACCGTAGGAGGATCAAGGGGACGGGAGATTGTCGCTAGATGGCTGCGGCACTGGGGGTCGAAACGGGGGGGTCAGGCTGAGGGCGGGACTGTTGAGCAAAGTGACGCTGGAGGGCGTCAGCGTAGGGGCAGGTGGACGGAGTGTGACCAGGTAGGCAACAACGGGTATATATACCTCGTGTACGAAAGTCCTCACTCTCGTCAATCGAGCCCGGGGAAAGACATAGCCCGATGGGAGGGGCTGCTGCGTGGCCGACGAGCTGGTCCTCGATGAAGAGGACTGGCGTTGTCTGAGGAAAGAAGAGAAGGCGCGGACGAGGTGCTCGTCCTGGTCGGGATCGTCACCATCCACAGGGGACTGGGGGTCATGTCCTTGGTCCGGGTCACTATGGGATCCATCCGAACCAGTACCCTCCTCAGCGCTCGACGACTCACGGAGCATGGTCTGGACACGGCGGAAGAAGGTGCGTCCAGGAACGCGGTGGGGGCCGCGACGAGACGTGGAAAACTGTCGGGGGCGAGATGTGCCAAGGGCGGACGTGGCAACGGGAGGTGCAGCACGAGGCTGAGATGTGGAGCCCACAAGAGGTGCATAGGTGAGTTGGATAGCCCTGGCAATGTTGAAGGCCTGAGGGAGGGTGTGGACTGTGTATGCCAGCATCTGAAGCTGGAAGGGTTGGGGTAACCCGACACGGAAACGCTGGACCATAGCGTCGTCGGCTATGAGGGAGGGGGGAATCTGGGCGCGAACGCGGTGCAATGCCGTGATGTACGCTCTAAGGCATTGTTGCCACCAAGCCATCTGATCTCAGCGACCCGTGTGATCGGGTCACGGGTAGGCGTCGAGCGAGAGAAGTACTGCTGGAGAAAATCGCGAAACTCCGCGTACGTCATACTCGCGTGAATGCCCTACTGAGCACGAAGGGCGAGAAAGTCGCGCCAAGTGGAAGCCGATCGAGCTGTGAAGCGGGCTGACATCTTCGTGGGCCACGAGTCCATGTTTACACCATGGTACCGAAGTTGCTCCTCGGATGTGGTGATTCAACCCTGGAGTTCGGAGGCCTTGCCATCGAACTGGGGGAGGTTGTCAGGGTGGTACCAGGGTACATAGGGCGGCGACTGATAATGGGGAGGGAGGGGGAGGGCACACTGCAACAAGAGGGCAGAGGAACTAGGGCACCCGCAAGAGCGCACTAGACAAGGCCAGAAGCTGAGGCAAAGGGCCATGGGACACCGTGGTGGCCGGTGGAGGAAGACTAAAGTGCATCGCAACGGCCTGTCTCATGATGCCGATGATGAAAGGGGCGGCAGGTTGTGCCGCGACGTGGGGAGGCAAGGGTTGACCTCCTTGGAGCCGGCGGATGTGGTCGTGGCTATGGGAAGTTGGCTTTTGGAGCTCAGCATTTTGTGTCCTGAGTGTCATAGGGGGTGGGGGGTGAGGTAAAGAAGTGGGGGGTGGTGAGGTAGGTATCGTGGATACTAGAATTGAGGAGGTGGCGGAACACGATGCCATGAGTCCGGACGAGGGAAGTGCGGAGGTGGGGATTTGGGAGGAAGAGGTGGCTGCAGAAGAAAGGTGAGTCAGGGGAGAAGACATGCCACCCGTGGACGAGACAAGCGTGTAGATGACGCCAGCCGACGAGGGAGAGGAAGCTGGCAGAGACGCTGATGACGTGGGTGGGGAACTGGACTGCAAGATGCCAAACTGGGGAGATGGGAGGTGTGATCCACTAGGAGCATGTGTGTGGGAAGAGGAGGAGGGGGGAAGGGAGGAGGGGGGTGTGGCAGCACGTGACTCCATTTGTAACATCCGATCCGACAAAGTATCGAAGTTGGTTTGTATGGCCATGAATTTTGCCTCGAATGTGGCCTTCATGTCCTGAGGATGGCGAGTACAGGGTCTGACTGGGTGATGGGGCCCGAACTGGCGACTGCAGAGGTGGAAATCTCCGTCGAGTCAGACATGGTGTCATGAGCTAGGAATGCAAGGCCTTCGCTGATGGAGCGGGAGGGACTCGCTAACTGAACACTTTGCATAGAGTCAGGGGATGAAGACGATGAAAAGGGGGAATGGAGATCAGGGGGACGTTCAATGGCAGCGGTCGGAGCGTCAAAGCGAGCGAGTCAGTGTGCGGCACGGGCGTCTCGGGCGCGGTTTTGGAGTACGCGCCGCTGGTTGTCACGGGGAGCCAGATTTGCACGCAGAAAAGGGGCCAAGAACGGAAGGCGTGTAGAAATGAGATCTAGCGAACTTCCGGAATCAAATCAAGAAAATTCAAAATTGGATCGAGGGGGGAAGGGGGGGGGAATTTTCAAATTCAGGCGAGAGGACGAGGGGAAATTTTCAAATACCATCGTGGGGTGTAGAGGAAGGCATGCATAAGACAATCGCGAAGTCAAAATAAAATTCCGAAATTATTTTAAATTCGGAATTTTAAGAAAGTCTAAGCAAAATTCAATGGATTTCAAAAATAATCGTAAAAAATTTTGAAAGTTCAGGCAGATGATAGGAGAGTTAGAGACGAGTTGGGAGGAAAATTTTGAATTGAAATGAAAAATTCCCTGACGTATTTCCGGGGTTAAAAGAATTTCAAAGGCAATTTGAAATAAAAATAGAAAACTATTTCCTAAATTCAGAATTTACGATGAAATGGCAGAAAGAATTTAATGAAAGTCAAGTAAATTGAATTGGGGGGGAATTTCAAAATTATTTAGATGAAATTAATAAATTGTATCAGCATGTTGTAAAATTGAAAAGAATTTCAAAGAATTTCCAAAAGAATTCCAAAGGAATTTGAAAACGAAATGCAGAATTTCGGAATTTTATGAGGAAAAGCCCCCAAAGCTGGAGTACTACAGACTCCTCTCCCAAAATCTCTTTGAGAACCCCTATATTCTGCGTCCGGATGGTCTTGCCTTTTTGCATCTTTGGAGCTGGTAACTTTGGTCATGCTTGGATGGTTCGGGGGGTTGCTAGTCTGGTGCATATTTGGGATGTAGTGGCAGGGACATGGAAAACGGAGGAAGAGTTGGTTCCTATTCTTGGTGGTCTCCACTATTGGAGACAACACCTGTGTATGATTCAACAGGCTATCCCCGTGCATTGGTTGGAGAGCATTCGAGAAAAGCGTGTGGCTGTTGGAGCGTGGATGAAGGACGAGCAGATGCAGCGGCCGGATAGGCTTTGGAGACTGGAAAGGTCGACGATATCTGATCGCTGGGAGATGACTTGTTGGGAGCTTTCGGATGGGTACCTTGGATTGGGTCAACCGCTGTCGCAGCTATCAGCTGCGCCCGTGGAATCTGATTTGTGTGGTTTGGTCCCGGTCTCTGTGTTAGATACCCCGCAAGGTGCTGCTAGTGGTTCTGTGCTTTATCGACCTTATAAGGTTCTCACTCCTGCACATGAACTGTTTGTGGATCCGCGAGATTGGTGCTGGGACGACCCCTGTTGTCCCGCTGATACGGTAGATATACATTTGCACGCGGTTCGCCTTGCTTACACTATGATGTTGCCTAAGATCGACATGGACTGGGAAATATCTAAAAGTGGGAATTCCTCTGATTTCGGTTGGTCTTTTCCGTTTGCTTTGCCTGTTCGCTTTGCTGCCGTGTGGAAGCTGCTTTTAGCCTTACCTGTGCCAAAGCATGCTGCTTTGTTATGGTTGAACCTGCACCGTGCGGTGCCTACTGCTAGCCTGGTGTATCGTAGGGCTCGCAATGGCCAACCGTTTTGTGACAGATGTCGTGCAGGATATTGCATCGAGGACCTCCGTCACCTGTGGATATCTTGTGACACTTCATCCTCTTTTTGGGATTGGTGGAGATCTTGTCATGCTATGCCCTTGGAGCGGGGCGACTTGTGGTCTGATACTTCTATTCTCATGGGCTCTGCTACGCTTCAGCTGGAACAGAGCCTATGTTTTCGAGGCAACTCGAGCGGTCATTCTCTGGAATATCTGGAAGTTGCGTAACGTTGTGGTCCGTGAAGGCAAACGCTTGTCTGCCCAAGGTCTGACTGGAGCTGTTTTGGCTGAGTTGCGCCACGTTATTCTCCTGGATTGGCATAGGCGAGGCAACAAAGTTGTGTCCGTTTCTGCAGGAATACGATGGTTTAGTAGGCATTGGGCTGCATGTGACAAGCTTGTTTACGTTGATGGTCTGACGGCTTCTGTCCATTTTGGTGACCTCTGTTCGGACTTTGCTGGCAATTTTTTGTCTCCTGCTTAGTATAGCTGGTCCTTGATTGAGCTGCAGGGGTAGGGCTTGGTTCAGGGAGTGGGACCGAGGCCTGTTGGCCCCTGTTGATTGACATCCCATATGTGATCTTTGTGACGCCTTGGGCACTGGGCCCTTATAATAAACTGACAGTCATTCAGGAAAAAAAAAAAAAAAAAGTGGATGTAGAGTGGACGTCAGAAGGATTAGATTTAGTAAATTCCGAAATTTATTTCACGAATTTCTGAATTAAATAAAAATTTAAACTAATTTACGAAAAGAATTTGATATAATAAAGAATTTCACATAACTTTTGAACAAACATGCCGGAATTAACTCTGTTCACGGCGTTGGAAGAAGAGTGAACGAAGATTAATCCTATCGAATTAGGTCGATGTTCCGTAGAGGGGGATGGACGGCGGGGGATGGACGACATTGTCAAACAAGAAAAAAAGAGGATATACGCGCCGCGCGCGTTAGGAATTTTAGATGATGCGACCAATTGGGTGAGAGGAGGAAAGGGGAAATGGAGAGAAGATAGAAGAAGAGGGAAAAGATGAGATCTTTGAGAGAGATCGGCGGGAGGAAGGGAGGGAATTAGTAAGAGGTAGAGATTGACAATACCGCACTCCCGGTCGGCCGGGAGCAATAGATGTCCTTCCTCCTAGTCGAGGAAGGTCTTGATCATACCCCTAAAGGGTCTTCTCCATCGTTTCCCCGGTGGAATGATGAGGTCGCCGGATGGAATACGCACAATGAAGGTAAGAAGCCGTGGCAATGGTGATGTCGACAATGGCGACGATGATGATAATGATGATGATGGCCCCTGAAGATGGCAGCACCGCGAATGTCGGGGGAGCAACAAGCAGCGTTGCTGTGAACACTTGATTGCCACAAGCCACCTCTAGCTTGAAGTCCTGAAACGCTAGAGGATCGATAGGTGAACCTCTCACAGTTTGTATTCGTACTGGAATTCAAAATCAAATGAGCTTTTGCGCTTTTGCTCCGCAGGAGATCTCTGTTCTTGTTGAGCTCATCTCAGGACACCTGCGTTATCTTCTAGCAGGTTCGCCGCTCCCGCCAAGGTCCGGGCGTGCACGCAGGCAGGAAGCAAAGGGAACAGGGGGCCGAAGTGGGGGGACATCAAAGCGGGGGAGGCAGCACAGTTGCGCGCACGTGCGCGCAAGGGGGATCGTGGTAGGGCGGGGCTGGGGTTGGGGGGGAGGTTTTGGTGTCGGGGGGGGGAACGCACGGTAGCGGGATCGGGCGGGTAGCGGGATCGGGCGGGTAGCTGGATCGGGCAAGTAGCGGGATCAGGTAAGAACACGGTCGGGATCAGGTGTGGGGGAGGTGGGATGGCAATCGAGAGTAGGGGGATGGGGGGAGATCGAAGTGCGGGGTTTGGTGAGGTGGAGACCGGGATTGGAGGGCAATGGGATCGAGGGGGAGAATTTGTGCGGTGGGAGGGGGGGAGGGGTCGTAGTGGGGGGACGGGAGCGGAAGCG